ACTTCTTCCTTCTCCACTGTTGATAGCCTTTTGGTCTTGTACAGTACCTTAGTCCGTTCCAAAATTGAGTATGCTTCCGTTGTTTGGAACTCTATTACTAATACTGACTCCTTTAGACTTGAAAGGATTCAAAGGAAATTTGTAGCTCTGTGTTACACTAGATTCTTTAATGGCGTTTGTGCCTATAATTATGATGATATATTAGTCAGATTAAATTTCTTATCGTTGTATTTAAGGAGGAGGCTTTTGGATGCTCTTTTCCTCGTTAATGTTTTTAAAGGCAAAATTAGTTGCTCATCTGTTTTTGATACAGTTAGTCTCTGCATACCCACTAGGTCTATCGGAGACTACTCTACCTTTACTGTACAATGTAATTTCAAGGCTAGTCCCTCTGCCAGATGCGTTTCTGCTGCCAATGCAGTCTGTAGGAGCATCGACATCTTTAACAAAGACCGTGTTTTGCTTACTGATGTCAGTCAGGTTTTTAAACAATAATCATTGTTTTTATTGTTTATTGAGTATAACATTTTATTGTGTATGTTGTTTGTCCAAAATTGAACTGTTTTTAGTTTAATTATTACTTTACTTATCTATAACATTTAGTTTTTTACTTATTAATTATTTTGCAATAAATTAATATTGTACTTTATGTATTCAGTTCATTGTTTGTTTGCTTTTGTATTGCAAGATTTGTATTGTTGTTAGTGCTTGGCTGTTATTAACCTTTTTGGCTGTTGTCAAGCACTTTAATAAATGAATTGAATTGAATTTAATATGATACATTTATATACTTAGTTTCATTTGTTTGTTTGTTTCTGTATTTGCAATGTTTTACTTTTATTATTATTAAAATTAATTTAATTATTTATTGTATTTTATCCTGTACTCTGGTTTAGTACTTGGCTATTATTGGCCTTATTTGGCTGTTGTCAAGCACTTAAATAAATGAATTGAATTGAATTATTATTATTACTGTTTTCAGATTGTTGGGGAAACGTTTGTGCTAACGACCTGAAGAAGGAAGCGAAGTCGAAGCCACAAACTCGCTATGCACAGCAGCATCTGGCTCTAAGGCAACCTTAAGTAGCACATATCTACAGAATTAACAATCCTGTTACTCTTAACAGTGACAAGACTGCAACTGTGGAACTCAAGTTACTTTCATGACTTGAAACAAGACTGCTTAGTTATGTAAATAGCCCTGTCTGGGTAACGGACGTTTCTATACACCTGGTAGGTAAATAAACAAACACAGTTCATATTTCGGAACACTTACAACAGAATTAATTGAAGCGATATACAAGGAACATTGAGTGAGTTATTAAAGCCTTGTTACAGGAATTATTCCAACCTAAAACAATGTTATTTTCTTTACCAAACATGAAATCGTATACCAATTAAGATTACCTTGGAAAATTGTTGATGTCTATCTATAAATACAAGACTGTAATCTACCGAACGTCGCAGAAGCGACGTACCGGATAATCTCGTTTTGTTATAGGAAACAGTTTGATCTATTTTAACCCATTTCAACCTCTACAGGAAACACAGGTCTGTGACAGGCCTACAAAAATCTGCAAGATATTAATACGACGTGGTATGATTTAATAGGGTTTCATACACAATTATTTCACCCAATTCAATTAAGATAGTTTTTTTAAACTGCAAGCATGATGCGGTACAATTCAATCAATATGGTCACAGGCTACGGCCTTGAAGATCCGTATTCGATTCCCGGTTAAGGTAAAGACTTATCTTTTGGACCCAACACTGATTCCTCAGCGTACCCTGATCTTTTCCAATTCACATCGTGGATTTTTTTTTTTTTGGGGGGGGGGTGTTAAAAGAGCAACAGCGTGGAGCTTACAGCTCACCTCCATCTTGTATCTATGTCAATAAAGGGTGAAGTTTCACCTTCACATACCCTATACGACTTTATGGCTATGTATTTAAGAACAGACGAAATTTTATTTTTTGTCCTTAATACGCAGGTATTTTTATTTTTCGTATATTATTTAATTTCTAAGTAATGCACTAATTAGAATTTTATGTCCAATGAGATTCTAAATAAATTTATAACTCGCCAGAAACTAGGCCTAACTTACTTACATGCCATATCTTACCAACAATTAAAATCCCGCTTTGCTACGGATTATGGGGTCTTGAGAGAGAGAGAAAGAAATTGTATAACTGAGGGGAAATTAATAGAATTTTCAAACATTGTAAGTAAATAAACTAATGACACTGTAATAATGTCAAAGTAAACGTTTACTGGCGATAAGTCACGTGGATGCCAAATAAATATCCGACACTTCGAAGGTAGTTTTCATCATCAGTTGCTGGTGATAACCTTCCTAAGAATTAACTGCGTGACGAAAACATTTTCCGAACGGTTGGATTATTTTTTATCGGCTTGTAACCCAACAAGTATTCACTGCATGTATTTGCCATTAACATTTCAAGGTTTACAAGAAAGCATGGAGGCAAACCTCCACTCGCATCTACATCTGAATGGTTTTGTGCGTAGTTACGAACCAGGGACAACTTAATTTTATCAGTGGAAGAAACTCTTACTCAGTTTAAATACGATGAAATTAATGTTTTTTATATAAATCATTACTCCTGAGTAACTATGAGATGTTTTGATTGTGGTCTTCTGAGTTACGAATGCCACGGAGGAACCTGTCTCTTGTCTTCACGTTGGAACATGGGGACGATGTGTTCGTCAGAATCTACTATAACAAAATAAAAGTCCACAAGACGTGGTAACCCAGAAAACCAAAACCCAAATCTTATCTTCTGAGATAATTAAATTGCATCGTCTTCACCTGGATTGTAAATATTCTTTGCTGATTGTTTCCAGTTTGCCGGTGATGATCTGACGGTGTAGTTCACACAGTTTGCGAAATATTGTAACATACTAATCATCCAGACAGGGAAACGAATGAATAACATTTTCCGAAATATTATGTGTAGTGTAAATAAATGAGCAATTGTATATCAGAACTGAATGATTCATTCACATTCAGGCGACTGCTTCCATAATTTTAAGTGCTCACAAAAATTCTGTTATTTGCATATCGGGTTTGGGCCCTGTTATTAAATATTCCATCTATACTTATCACTGATTGCACATGAATTTTAGCACGGATTGTAATTTATAATTTTAAACCTATTTCAGGTCATTAAGAAATATCTCTACCCAGTATCCTACTTAGATTTTAAAATATTTGTAAAAATGTGTAATTACTTAAGCATCTCGACGATTGTTATTTCCGACTATGTTCTATGTAAGTCGATATCATGTTCATATTTAACAGATCTGTTTAAGAAACTCTGATTGGTCATTCATTGACAATCTCGATAACATTTGTAATTAATAAACTTGTGGAAAAGACCAGCTCAAATTTAATGGGCAATAATTTATTTCATATATTTAATCCTTACACCCTTTTCTACAATTCCTTTGTCTGTTTTTATATTCATTTAGTACTCTTTTCCCATAGTTGCAAACTTATAATAATGCAGAATATCATACGTGCTACGTATTATGTTGATTCAACCACCACATTTTATGTATTTCTGAAATGACCTAACGGTAGGCGAACTTAAAATAATTGTCCATAGATTTCTCGGATGGAGTTCAATGTGTAACTTCGGCTGTCACGTAAAAGTCGAAGTTATAAACTTGTCTCCTATCTAATGTGTAGGCTATTGCATATTCTACCCCTTCGAGGGAAAAAACCCGACATCTTACGCGTTTGAAAAAGAGAAGATACAAAAATAAAATTAAAAATCATCGACACTTGTACACAATTAGAACTATAGTTAAATGATATACTAAAACCAGAACTCAAATTTAATCCACCAATCATAATGCGAAATAATAAATGAACTTAAAATTTTATTCTTTAAACAGCAGAGAGGTCTTTACGTTGACCTGTTTAACGGTGAAGTTTACGAACGTCGTCTAATTTAAAACTAGACGAAATATATTATTAGAAAGACCTAAGTATGTGAGAATAATATTAAAATGTAACTTGTAAAAATAAGGTGTAAAAGTGTGTACTAGTTTCCACACACTAAAATTCCGGTGGCGAGATATTTTGAATATGAATTTTGAGATTTCTTGAAAACCTCAAGTTACTACAATCTTTTAAATAAGGTCTCTGCTCCAAGGAATTTTAAAATCGATTCGATTAATGCAAAGTTGAATTACAGTTCAATTTATGAAGGCTAAATTAAATCATCTATAATTTTATTACACTTTGTCACTGTGCAAAAGTGTCAGTGTCACAGATGTACGTGAAGCAAGTAGCCCATTTGTGTTCTTTACATGATGTCAGCTCATAACCTCATGGCCTACTACAATCATGATTATTTATTATCACACTGCCATTAATTCTCGTGTAATTATGTGGATTGCATGTTAACAAACATAAAAGGGCCATATTTTTGACTCTATTGCTGTTAGTATGTATTGTTTACTACTAGCTACGGGCTGGACGACCGGGGTTCGATCCCCGACGGGGGAAGAGGATTTTTCCTCTAGCCTCTGCGTCCAGACCGGCTCTGGGGCCCACCCAGCCTCCTCTACAATGGGTACCGGGGGCCTTTCCCGGGGCATGGCGTATAGTGGGACAAACTTTACTTCTTTTTTTTTTACATTCCCACTTTGACCCCTTAATGGTTATTTAATTTCTTCCAAAGTTAGAACAAATCCCATGATTTCAATATTTACGTCGTAGTTTACCTGGGATCCATCAGTGCCCTATAGGTTAATAAAATAGATCTAAATTGTTGCGTTCGATGTGGAATATCGGTGAAGTGTGAATTTATGAAAGAGGGGTAGACAACTCATTAGCTTACACAATTGATACAATACACACATGAAATAGCTGGCTTTCCTTACAGGAGTTGAACCTCAGAGACCCCACTTCACCCTACAAACAAGCTTATGTGAGGTAACTGAAGACACAATAATAATATTTAGGACCTAGAAAGGGGGGTAACACACATGACTCAATCTTGGCAATTAATTTCAGCATTTGTAGGCTGTTATTAACGTTTCGTAGGAAACTGTCACCTACATCTGCACTTCCATCGCTTATGCACTGAAGACCCAATAAATATATAATTTCTGGCGTTTTTTAACAGCAGTGAATTAGTCTCTTTACCGCCTCCTGTGGCGAAACTGCTACGGCTGCTGCGTGCAGTGATCATACGACGCTGTAGAATCACATCTCACTGCACTTAACAGAGTAAATGTTGTAGCAGCGAGTCTAACTTAGTGTTCCAAGAAAACTAAATGCCAATTATCTACGTTTTCACAAAAGCAGAACCTGTTTCACTCTTTCAAACTAACGAGGGAAGTCGGTTAAGATCATTGTTTCAGGAAATAATGAGATCTGTTTGAATTCGCAGGTGGAAACGCTAAAAACTAACGAGGTCCTAGTCGTAAAGGAAAGATGCAGAAATATTATATCCTCCAATTTAAATGGGAACACGTACCAAAATCTTGGGCCTTCCTGTTGCAACAGAAGTTCCGACTCAGAATTCAGTGATCTAGTTACAAAGAAAATCCCATGAACTCCGATTACTTTGTTCCTTAAGGTGATACTTTATCCAACCATAGATTTTCGATATGCATAATAAACTACGACGTCACTAATACGACTCGTAATATTTCTATACACGAGAACTAAGCAGTCGTCAACCACTATTTTTCAACTGCTGTTTAAAAATTATCATAAATTTTGGCATTTCGATTGATTCTTCATCAGTTTCAGGGCTGAAGCAACATAAGAGAGTCTACTTATCTAAAACTGATGAGAATGTACAAACAGCAATGAAACAATAGATAAAGTAGCAGAACACTTATTGTGTATGGATGATTGATAAAAAACTTATCACACGATATAATAATTGTCTCAGAATATGTGCAAATAACGTTTAATAGTCGTTCATTAGCGTTGTAGCCTTTTTTCCACAACAAAGTCTCTGTAAATCACGTTAAGATAAATTGTAAACTGTCTTTCTGACCGCTTCCTTTATACTGTATACTGTAAAACATTTATTCGTTCTTAGGTGTTCCTAACAGTCCCTTACAACGGCGTAGTTTTGGAGGATCGTGTTTATGTACCACTCCGCTACTTAACTTCCAACACTACATCTGTGTTACTATGATCCCAACAGTCCTGGTGTGTCTTATACACCAAACATGCAGACCGCCCTTTTAGCATGGTCCATGATACCAAATTCCTCTGCAATGCAAGGAATTTCCATATTACTAAAAGGTCCAGCAGGGAAAGTCTTATGTTACTAACTTCGTTGTTACAAAGGATACTTCAGCGGCCCAGAACGGTCTAATGTTTTATAATTCTGGAATTTAGGAATCTTTCTTGTGGTCTCAGAGACGACGTCTTCTCTCTCGGGGGTACTATGTTACAATTCCCTCGTACATGACTGCCTGCGGTGTTTCTTAGATGTCTTGAAACAAGCCAAGTTACACGTTTCTACATAATTCCTAGTTTCCTGCATCATACATCTGTGATATAACATTCACTACAACAGTAATAATTCCAAGAATGAAATTACTAAACCAATAAGAAGACTTTCGTATGATAAGACATACTGTGACACATATTGTAATTAATTAAAGGAAATAAGATATTCTCAGTTTCAATAGAATAACATTAATTTTGCTGAGCGACTAGCAGCTAAGTAAGAAGGTCTCTGCTTCACGGAGTTCGTCTTTTCTCTTATTTTACTACACTGTAGTTGACAATGTCTATGAATAAATTATGGTCTCTAAAGCGCCTGTCTACAAACTGGACTTCCATTTCCAGGGGGGGGAGTGAATGCATTTTCTCTACACCTCCAGATCGCTTTTGAGGCGCAGCTAACCTTCTGTCCAATGGGAACTACGGTCTCTCTCTCAGTAATGATATTGAGATATCAATTCAAAAACCTTTCCTTGGTCACTTCATTTAATAACGCCTTATCAATTACATTCGTAATATATAACATCGATAATTCTGAATGATAAACTGGGAAGTATATAAAAAAATGTGGCCTTTTCTGAAACACTATTCCAGCATTGTCCTAGAGAGACGGAGGAAGACGATGAAAATCATTAGTCATCATAACCATCTCTCGGGTCGATCATCGAACCCGAGACCTCTTGAATACTAAACAGGAATGCACCGTATTGCTTACTTGGCTATCTGTGTTAAGGAAGCTTCATTCTAGCGACGCTTATGGAGATGCGTAACAAAATAATATTAAAAAAATTAAGAGTATATATATATATATA